TTTCTTTTCTTTTCTTTTCTTTTCTTTTCTTTTCTTTTTCTCTTTTTCTTCTTTTTCCCTTTTTCTCTCCTCTTCTTTTTTCTTCTTTTTCCTCTTTCTTTATTTTTTCCCTTTCTCTTCTTTCCTTTCATTTTCTCAATTCTCCCCCCCCCTTTTTTTTTCTCTTCTCTTTTTCACCTGTGCTCACACAGAGTCCAATCTAAACCCCCCAGAAATTAAAGGGAATCTTTTTAATGGCATTTTGGATCAGGCCCTGAGATCCCTGCAGGGACTGAGTAGGGTGGGGGGGCAGGATTTACATTTCATGGCTTTTAAGGAATCTGAAGTACGGCAGAGAACAGAGCTTTCCAAGGCCAAGTTTCCCAAATCTATGTGGATATATGACAGAGTGTGTATGCGATTAAGTTTAAAGCCCTCTCTAACAGCAAGCAAGCACATTCCCTTTCCTGCACCCTGAACCCCACTTCTCCAATTTTAAAACAAAAATGCGTTGCCAAAACCTTGGGAACCGACAGGGATGGGGAAGGAATTAGTCTTAGCTCTCCCAGCCACTTGGGGCTGTTGCACTGAGACATTAGAGACGACGAAAACGAGCCCCAAAGTGAACCAAATAAGACGTAGCTCTTTACATTTTTTTTCTCCGTTTTTTTTTTCTCCCTCCCTCTCTCCCTCCCCTAAAACATAAGTATTTCCAGAATCACTGATGAAAGCCATTTGATATGTAGGAAGAGATGTGCCGTCTGCAGCGCGACTCAGTGTTTGCAGAGTGGGATGAACAGATTTTCCTTTCCGTAGGGTTTCCTCCTGCAAAGTCATTGTAGAGGAGGGAATATCGTAAGATTAAATCTGTTTCAAAAACTATATTCATGTCACACCAGATACAGTCTCCAGACTGCATGCAGTCTTTCAGCTCCCTTCATTGTGAAATCCTTTTAAAACAACACCGCGTGGAGCAGAAAACGTATTCCAGCATAGCTCTCACCCCAGCTCAGCCAGATGAAATAAAGGGCAGTTATCAGCCCTTTGGAATTAACTGATCTGCTCCGTGTCTCTGGCTGCTGTAGCACTGTCTCGCTTTCTGAGACTCTTTCCTTATTAATAAGCTGATAGTTCAGTGGAGCTGCTAATGGATCGATGCCCCTGGGGGAGCAGGCGGTCCCCTCTGCCGGGTGCTGTGACACCACCAGGATGGAGCTGGAGGTGTCTATGGGAAATGGATGTGCGTGTGTGTGTAGGAGCAGGGAGAGCAAGTTAACCAAAGGGACACAGCAGAATTCCCGTATTTAGGAAAGGCAGATCGGCTCGCTGCCTGACCTCATTTAGCATACAGAGATTTGCTCCGTGTGTGTTGAATTGTTTTTTCTTTATTTAAATTGGATTTTAAATATATGTTGACAGTAGGAATTGGTACAGCGTGAGCAACCGCGGGAGCAGTGACAGCTCTGCTTTTGTTACTGAACGACTTGTCTGGGAAATAAGGGAATGTGTACACAAACGGATTCTTATTTTGCCAATGAGATTAGCACAGCTGATAATAACCATGAAGAGAACGATGCCGAAAGTGGCGTGCTTTCAGGTCATAGGAGGTAGTGCTCACCGGTGAGGCAAAGAGATGTTTTTAAGGTAACTTCTTGGTGAGATTCTCCTGCTATTCATGCAAAGGAGAGGCCAGATGTGCAAGGAGCGTTTCACTTTAAGCTGTGCTAATTTTCTTCTTCTTACAGCTAACGAGCAGCGCAAGCAACTGTCTGAGTTAAATACAGGATTTGAATATAAGAGGCCCTATTTGTACAGTAGTGGCACAACAGACATGTTTTACAATGCTAAGAATTCCTTTTAATAACAGCATATTTTAATGTATTTACTAAATTAGGTACCCGAGAGAATCTTCTACAACGGTGATGTGAAAATCCCTGTTACCTGAGGTCAGAACAAAAGGTATGTTCCCACTTTCCTTTGCACTTTACCTATCTGGGGAGGGTGCTGGGCTTCCCATTGCCCAGCGGGGACGTGCTCTGTGGGGTGAAGCTGGCTTCAGGTGCACAGAGCATCCACAGTGCTGGGCTTTGCCCTTCTGTCAGCCGTCCCATGTCCCACCGCTCATCTATAATCCTCTGCAAATGTTTTCTTTCTTTCCCTTCAAATGCTGGCGTTCAGGCATCAGCTGCAGGGATTAAGGATAGGTCTCCTGAAGATGTCCCTCATCTCTGGGTGGAAGTCATGAGGCTGTGTGTGTTAGGCAGCATCTGTGCTCCTGGTTCACAATAGGGTCTAAATCAGCACTGCTTTTTCTCATGGAACTTGTTTTCATTCAAACTCTCATTGACTACAAAACACACTGTCAGGAAAATGCGGGGATTAAGCGTTCAGCTCCTTCCCCTGCTAGGTTCAAATAGCATGCTTTTTTTTTTTCCTTTTTTTTTCCTATAGAATCTGATTTTTATTGACCTCAACTGTAAAAAATACTAAGTGGCTTCAATGAGCTGCAGGGCTGCAATGACACAGGCTCTGGCGTGTGTTTTGTTATAAAACCTCCTGTTCTAGTTAGGAGCACGGCCTGCCACACTTTGGTCAAACACAGCATGCTGTTATAAAGCAATATTTGATTAACTCATGAAATTAATTACAAAGAAATGGGGAAGAGGTATGCAGTGCACTGCAGAGGGGCTCTTTGGGGTTCTTCATGAGTAGGTTTCCAAGGAGGTATTTCATTGTGAGGGTGCAGCTCCTGCTGTCTTACCTTCTTTCTAGGCTAAGGGCTGCAGGTCTGATAATTCGTGAGGAAACCTCTCCTGGCTCCTCTAATTTATATACGAGTTCTGTAAATCACATCAGCAATACAAATGCTTTTTGTCCATATACTAAAAAAAAAAAAAAAGGCAAAAGCTCTTTCTCTGCTGTGGTCTCAGGACGTAACTTGCTGCTCTCTGGGACAATTCCTCACTCCTTTCTTCCAATTCATTGTGGTGACACTGTCACTTACAATAGGAAAACACAGCAGCAAAATCCCTTCCTTTTAAGCGAATTGCTGTTGGGTCTCGGAAGAGTTAACGAACTTTTATGGCGAGGTTCAGGCAGTTCTGACCCCTATGGTAATATTTCATCTAAGGTTACTGTTGGGAGAGAAATCAAATTTCAGCTGCAAGCGTGATTGACAGGTGAAAGCAAGAAAGAGAGAGACATCTGGTCAGATGGGGAATTTGGAAAGGAGAAGGACAATTCAGGGAAATGTCTCTGTGATATTAGGAATAATAAGTTCAGAGATGAGGACTTCAGACCTCCGTGCGCTCCGGAGCTGCTCTCACTCGGTATTCATGCAGGTGCTTTGGGTAAGGGGATTTCAGGCTGTAAATCTCCAGTAGTGGACAGTGGTCTCTGTGGTCTAACCTACTAACTTGACTCCTTTAAGGAATTATGTTACTTCTGGCTTGCTTTTAGTATTTCAAGGCAATTCCTTCAACAAATGGACTGGAGAGTTAAGACACTGTCACCTGGGTGTCCCTCTGGGGTCTATGGCAGCAGCATCCTGCCCATGGGATTGCTGAGCAGTATTTCACAAGGCAAATTTTCCTTTCAAAGGGAAGTCCTGTGAAGGATTTCCAAGATTGCTGGTTTTCATCACTGTGCGTAACTTCTAATGTTTCAAACGCACGGCAAAGCTATGGACTGTGAAGGGCATTGGCCGTGCTCTAAGGGAAGGGATCTGAACTGCTCCGTGTCTCCATCCCAGCTGGGAGGACAGGCCCTGAGTGGGCTCCTGGCCTCACCACAGCTTTGGTGAAACCCCACGGAATTCCCAGGGCCCAGATTTCCACCACATGAATATCTGTGGGGGGAATCATGCTAATAAAAAGCAAGATCTGAATTCATCTAGCGGTAGCGGTGCCATGAATTCCCTGGATGGATGTTCCAGTTTGGGATTAAGAATGGATTCTCCCTCTCTCCCCCTTCCCCTGCAGTGTAGCTTAAGCTGCTTTCAGAATAAACTAAGCAGGAAAATCCACTTTTACTTTGGAGCAGGAGTGTTGCCCTGGGAATAGGTAGCACTGCATTGTATCTTACCACATAATTCCTTATCTGGACAAGCCTTAAAACTAAGGAGAAAGTAAGGAGCAGTAAAAAGGAGAAATACATTTGCTATTCCTTTTCCAGTATACCTCTAAGACCTTTCCCACCAGGGAAATCATGGCAATCCTAACGTGTACATTTACTTGCATTTCCGTGCTATTCCTGTGTTTGCACACGCATTTTTTAAAGAGATTTGTGTTTTGTGAAAGCCTTCTGCACTCCCATGGTTTTTTGAGTGTATTGTTGACGTAGAAGCAGATCTGACTGTTATTTGTGTTCCTTTCATGGCCCGCGATGTCAAACTGCCTGACTTCCCTGCAGCGAGGCCTCCTCAGCTAAGTTTTATTCTAAGGCCATATATCTGATAAAATTGCAAATGAAAGCTGAGAACTGTAAAAACAGCCCAATTTCTTTGGGTATGAGTGAATGATTTTTAACTTCCCATTTTTGAATTAGCCCTCCCTTTAAGACGTCTTTATTTTTCAAAGCTGATATCTAGATAAATTCCACGAAATATTATTGGCAAGTTTCCCATGGCAGTCAATGGGAGCCTTGTATGTATTTTTCAAGCAGATGTGCTATATTAAGTCTAAATGAGAATCTTTTCTTTCAGATGGGATGCAAGCTGTTATTCTTGCTCAGAAATGAACAGTTACCTATCTCCCTTCTTTCTCTCTTTACAATGTATTTTGTACAATTTACAGTCACTTTATGTAAGTAAAAAAAAAAAACACAAAACATTTCTTTCCAGAAATGTGGCTTTTGCTTTTGTTTGATTCTAATAATTCTAATTGCTTACATACATACATGTATATATATATTTAAAACATTTCTTTTGGATTTCTTAATTTGTGCTGCTTACAAAATGACTCACATTGTACCAAAATACAGGAGATGGATGAGACAGGAAAAGTATCGATGTAGAGTCCCATGTGTAAAATGACTTCTCAGGCTTCCACGTATAGTCCCGATGGTTAGAGAGAGAAGAAAGCAGGAGCTGGGAGCTGCAGCCTGACTCACTCGTGAGACTTTGACCCAGTTCTTTGATTCTGGATTCAGCAAAATCCAGCAGCACTGTAAACTTGTTATCTGAGGTGTCTTCTAAAGGTCTCTTGCTGTTGATCTCTTTATGTCTCAGTTTACACAGTTATAAACCTGGATAATTAATGGGGCCAACAAGTAGCTCTGTGCTGGTGGAGGCCTTCTGTGTTGCCCACTCTGCTCTCATCCAAGGGCTGAATTTACAAGTCTGTAGGGTTTGGGGTTGGCACTGGGGTGAGAAACCTCTGCACGAGGCAGGTGGTTTGCTGAATGGAATGTAGCTTAGGTTTTACCCTGATATGGAGTTTGGTTGAGGCAAAACAGGAGCAAATGGTGGTTCAGTGGTGTACCTCTCTCCTCAAACACCAAGTATGCATCCTCACTGCTTGCTCCTTAAAGAGCTGTGCACCTGCACAATGTCCAGAGGTCACGTTGCCCTTGTAACTCCTCATTTATTTCCCAAGGTTCAAGCCATTATTATTCAGCAGTGGTGCAGCTTTTCTTTTCTTTTGTCCCCAGATTATTACTTTCCTTCCTACTTTCTACCCCCCCCCCTCCAATCTGCAATGGAGTCTTCAGCTGTAAATTTGCTAACTGCAGAGACTTTTGCTGAAAATATTCGAAAAAAACAGCATAAGGGGGAAAGAAAAAGATAAATAAATAAGAAAGGCTCTGAACGACACGCTGTGCCGTGCTCGAGCACTACGCTCCTACAGGACAGATAATAAAGATATTAGCACTCATATAATTTCAGATAGGAAATGAAACCAGACATGAAAGAAGCACTGGCTCCAGCTGTTGAGTGGGTATCAAACTAGCTCTGGGAATTGCAGGTACTGTCACTGGAGACAGCCTGACTTCTGAGAAATGACCTCAGGTGTAGGAGCTTGCTGTGGCCCCTTGCAGATATTAATACCTAATTAACAATCTGCAAGAGCATCCTACATCTTAATCACCAGTGAGGTGAGAATGACAACCAGAGGAGGAGAAAGGAGAAGGGGAATGGTATTTTTTCCTCTGCATGCCTAATAACCATGGTTATTCAGATGCAGCTAAATGCGATTTCCTTTTAGTCGTTTCTGCCTATTGGAAGGCACAGTAAGTTCATTTGGTAGCAGGTAGGCAGCGGAGGTGAGAATTGAATTGATCTGAGATACTCTGAAAAATTGACCCCGGGGTCATTCGTAGTTTAAATTGGGAAGCGAGGCTGAGTTTATGTCTTCCCTTTCTTTCCCCTCTCTCTGCTCCCTCTCTTTTTGTGTTTGCAGGCGTGTTAGTCTGCACAGTAATTATTTAAACATACTCTGGTGATGGGGAACCTCGTTCTCCCAAAGTTAATAAAAATAAAGAGAGCTTTTGTTAGTAGTGATAGGTAATTAAATAGCTGGCTTCACGTTGTGCAGAGATATTGTACTGCCTTATTGACACCCTAGAGCCGTGCTCCCCAGCCCTTCTCTGCTCGAACGAAGTCACCGGGATTAAGACCTGGGCTAAATTAAGCACATTTGCTCTGCACTCCGTGCAGCAGCACCAATATACCCCTGGTGTGGGATGCTGGCAGCGGGATGCTGCAGCGAGGGCAGCAATCAGACAAGAAGCAATGGCCAGGTTTGCTTGGTTGAAGGCAAGAGCAGCCCTCCTCCGCAGCGTGGGGCTGCCCAAGATTGCTGCTGCACCACCAGGGCAGGAGGTTCAAAGCTACACCTGCTTGTGGGGCTTTGTGCTCACCTCCAAACAGCTAAGGTGGAGGCGAAGGAAGAGAGAGAGGTACGGACTGGGGAGTGAGAGACATAGGGGATGTAAGGGATGCAGGGGTTGTAGGCGATGTA